ATGTTTTCTTACGAGTATCCCTGCAGTATCCTCATCATGGTTATGTCAACGAGATGGCGAAATAGGATTTTTCTTTAAGATAAATATAAACATTTAATAAGTTAGTAAAATTAAGTATTATAATATTATGATAAATGCGTATCAGTAAATCAATGTTCCGAATTATCTCGCAAATTGTTTTATCCCTCGCCTCTGCATGCTTAATAGGCTAGTTGACAATTTTCGTTTAATTACATAAATAAATAGTCTATTAACATTTGAGAAATAATGTCGAAGTAACAGCATGTCTGCGATTAATAGTTTCGGAGATACGGTGCTGTGTTTGTAGAACTGCTACTAGTTGACCGAAAACGCTCCCTACAAATTTAAGGCACTCAGTGACGTCACACAGTGCTACAGTAGCGAAAAATGTATGGACGTCTGGACAATTTTTGTAATATCTTTGTTATTTGTGCGTTTATGTTTATAACTGTTATAATGAAAGTTGTAACATTTTTTATATTTAATTTGATGCCTTGTGTTGAGCAAATTTTAGTATATTTTCTCTACTTTTTTCAAGTTTTCAAAGCGTAATATTTTCCAAATCAGTGACTTAAAATTTGTTTTGTTAAACATTTATAAGTTAAAATGGTAAATATTTTTCGAAGATATAACAAAAACCTGTATTTTAACTTGTAGGACACAAGCCTAACGCTTACTTGACTAATTATACATCTAAAACTTTCTAATGTATCACTTCATCCATTAGTGGAAATCTCGCATGAAAATTAGTTCGTTATTATTTGATTTCTTTTTCACGTTCATCTAGACAAACCATGGGGGCCTTTGTTTTATGTTTGTGCTATTGATCTATCTATTATTTCTGCGTAATAAAATTTCATTTATATTTCCATTACATTTTACAATAGTATATGATGTAAAACAAACTTTCTCATAGTTTCTACTAATATTGACGTACGTCGTTATCGCAGGATAACACCATTGACTAGAATGGAAAGTATATGTTCGTGACAACATAAACATGAGAACACGTATATTACGTCTCGTTTCCGCTTTCACCTTCGACGACCATTTAATTTGCCACCATTAAGTATTCCTGACGGACGACGTGAAGGAAACGAAAAAAAAAAAATCTTTCAAAATTTCACAACTAAGTGAATGGAAGATTTCGTATATAAACAATGATAAACACAATTCTTTAGCGCGTAATTGCAGTGACTTTAGATACGTTTCCAATCTTGTTGATTTTGGATTTCTAAGAGCCTGTTTCCGAAAGAGCGACACGTAACAAATGTCTCTTGGATAGTGTCGATGTCGTTGAAAGTGAACGTTCCGGCGTTTGTTACTCGTTAGTTACGTATCGACAGACGTGCCTTGTGTATAGAATGCAAGCTCTACATCAGCCTGAACCTTTAATATTAACACAACGTAGGTCCAGTCTAGCTGTAGAAGGAAATTGTACCTCTTTATATTCTGAGCGACGCAACGTCGCTTGAGCATACAAGTATTACAGAAGAGATTATGCTATTGCTATTATGAGCTCGTATTAGAGGTTAAAGGGCCTTTTTAGCATAGTAAAATGTAATGCATTTATTTTACTTTTTAACAAAATATTTGCTTTGTCATTGTTTCTGGGATCCGTACAGTAGACATCTACTGTCATGGTTGTATCGGATTTGAGAAAATAGTAAACTGATCACCAGACACTTGCCAATGCCTTTTTATGGGTAAGTTTGGCTTCAGGCCGTTGTTATGGCGATTAATCTGCCTATAATACCATAATACGACGTTTCCTTGAGATTATCTTTAAGAGTTCGCTTTGCATCACATTACAATTTTATTCAAAATCCCTTCATATCTGCTCCGATTGAAATAGTTATTTAAGATACGAGTGCGGAAAGTAAGGTTTTAAAAACCTTTTACGCTCAAGTTTCTTACAACATTTTTCAATGCTTTTTGCGAGGAAATAAAACAAATATATAGGTTAATAAAACTAAGTATGTATTAAAGGTAAAAATTATTTGTTAAAATCAAACCTGATATTTGAATATGTTTTCGTGTCATACATTTTTATTTGAAAATATTCGTTCTAGGCTCCTTGAAATACTTTTGCCTCTAAAATTTGACATATTTTCATCAATTTTTTTTAAATTTCTTTGGTGGTCGGCCAAAAAAAATTAAAAAAATACTTTTAAGCACGTGTGCAGTAAAGGATTTCAGTACATTTTTATTTAACACATGTTTAAAGACTCACTTTCGGTGTTTACAATGGATTAAAAAAATAGCGCTTTATGAGCAACTGCATTGAAAAGTATTTTTTAACATTAGCTGTAATCTCTCTGTAAATCAACACATAAAAATCTCATTTTTTAAATTTTGCTCATATGTTGCGAATGCCGTTAAACCGACGAATCTTGGTGTTTTCGTAAGTTTTATTACCTTCCATTTACAGTTATTTATTTTAATGACTAGTCTTATTCGTGATTCATTCTTCAGTACGACATTTTAACTTCGACTACCGCACCATGCGTTTGTTAGCCGTTTCCTCTCCATATATAACATTGATTCGTAAGAGATGCTGCGTTACTCTCACGTCGGATTTCTTATTCGATTATATAATTATTAAATCCCTATTTACTCCCAGCAAACCTCGGCTAGTTATTCGGGCACCGTTGCCTTGAAATGTATATGTATCTAGAAGATTGGTGTTTATAATAATATTAAAGTCGTTGGTTATACGAATGAATACCATTCAATCATTAAATCTTCAATTAAATTTAATCTCTTGATCAGTAGCGTCAGCTAAATGTAACATTATCGGGTACTTAGTCAACATAACATATACATTTAATATTAGTGATGATAACGATTCTATCCATTTGAATTATTCAAAAAATTATTGAATCCGCTTAAATAATTTAAAAAGGTCTTGGAAAAAGATCACATGGAATATAATGAAAAATTTAATTATAAACAATGGTTCTTATGGTTACGTTTTAATGCTTTATATGAACTTCCTCTCTCATTTTCATCTCTTTATGTGTTATTTTTCGGGATAAGATAAAAGATATAAATTAATTCGAACCAGTAGTTCCTAAGATAATAGAGTTCAACCAAACAAAGAAACAATTCAGCTTTATTATTAGTAAAGATATAGATATCTTAATTATAACTTCAGCTTTCAGAACGTGTTCCGTGATAATATTTAATGTAAGTGAAATTATCGTTTTATCTAATCAGTCAGAGTATCTTTCTACATGCCCAATCACTGTTTGAACATTTGTACAATTGTAAAATATAATGTAGTTAATTATTCCGATATACTGTAACTATGAGACAGTTGATAAACGCAAGTTTTTTTTACGAGCATATTATTCTTTTTCAATTCATTAGGATTGATAAAATACACTTCCGCTAGGCGATGACTAGTGCCCCAGATAACCTGCAACTTTTTCTATAAATTAATTTATAACTCAGTATGTAAACCAATTATGGATGCGCAAAGTAATTCTATTAGTGTGGATTGTGTTTCCTTCAGTTCAGAAAGAATTCTTGACGGTTTATGTACGTGAATGTTATTTGTTTTTCGATTTCAAGTCCAAAAATATGATATCTTTACTCGTGGAAGACCGATGTGAGAGTAATAGCAGTCTTAGTGAAAATTCGCTAAGTTTGCGAATTTGTTGGTAAGCTGAAATCGAAACGATGTTTTTCCAAATAGATATCGTACTTGTACTGTGTTTTTATTGGTTTGCATTTTTTAATCATTGATAGGACCATTGACATGGCATAATTTATTTTACTTGTCCAATGACGGCGTGACGGAACTTATTAAAAAATCATCATTGACTGCGACGACTAATCGGGCTAAAGCGCGAACGACGATTCAGATGAAGCAGTGTGCTCGTGGCCGTAGATCGCGACGGTCCCTACTGCTTTGCATCACTCGACAATAACATATGTTTATTATCATTATTGATCTCGCGTTCGACGCTGTGTCCTACTGTACGGTTCGCGCACTTTTAATGTTTTTATATTGCATAATAGCCTGTAATTTAATAGTTTGTTGATTATTTTAACTTAACCAAAGGTTAATGTTCTAAAATTCCCAGTACAAATTAAGTTAAAATGTTCATGTCAGTGTTGTTAGGCATCAAATCTTAATTATAAGGTTGGGTACAGGGCATCGATGTTGGTCGGGCGTGGGGGCGGTCCTTACCGTGTGCTGTCTTCAGCCGACCGACAATTTTGTGCAACTCGTAGATCCTCTCTCCGGTCGCGAAGAACGGTCACTGACGTTAGTAAAATCGTTCTCATTCGCTATGATCTCATACCCTCTGATCTCATCTAAACATTTCTTGTACGATGTTTCGCCGTTATTCAAAAAACTAACCCTACAGTCTGCCGATCGATGATTTCACAGCTCGGAGCACTCGTGGCGACGAAGAAATGAACGTTCCAAACGGTCACATCACAGGCGTTCCCCTACATCTCACAGACGGAGAAGGCATCATCGCGATGAGTCCCCACAGCGTTCACCACCAGAACAGGTGAGATCTACTTTACCATGTTATTTGTTAACAAAAAAATGTGAAAGGATGGAACGATATGAAACAAACCCAACATTCGCCACCACTATTTGTCCACCCGAAAACCTGTTTAAGATATAGAGGTAGTATAGGATTAGTTGTCGATTCAGTTCATGTCCTTAAGTACATGTCGTAAGCGAAGAGCGGAACCAGAATAAAGCATAAACGTCAACGTGCCTGGGATAACACACGGGACGGGTTTGGCTTACGAGTGCGCGTGCGCCTTCGCGCGTGAAGATGTGCGCGAGAGACGGCGACCTCCTCGCGCTTGCGCCCGTTCTATTTGTGTTCGCCTTCGTCACTCGGAACGCCTTCAGTCAGTCGCAAAGCTCGGCCGGCCGCCCGGCGCGTCTTTGCCACACCGAAATACTAGCCCGCTGCGCCGGACCGCGGGCGGGCGGCGCGCGAGCCATGGCTGCCCAGCCACCGCGACCACCTTCCAACAACCTACTGTTTTGTGGGCCACCACCTGATTTACCACTCGTGGTGTTGTTACCCAGTAATACTACCCGTGATAATTGTAATTTCGATGCTTCGTCAGATGCTGAAATAAGGCAAACAAACGCCGCTGATACTTTAAACGAAATAAACAACGTGGGTGTACCTACATACGAAAATCTTTACGAAAATCAAGAAGAACTCTTTGACTTTCCACACGAAATTGTCACAGAACATCAATTACCTCAGGACAACTATTTTCGTAGAACTCATAGCTTTGATATTTGTGACTTGTATACATCACCAACAGATGTGGATTTGAGTACGTTACGTCGTGGACGATCAGAACCTGATTTATCAAAATATGGAATGTTCCATGCGGCCGAAATTACTGTTGAACAATTTGAACCAATGCAACCGGCTCCACTTGTTCTCAATAATCCATTTTATGATGGCTCTTATGCTTTAGATCCTACACAATTAAATAATAGTATGGTAGTACTACCTGAAAACTATTTAGCTTTTGAAGATTCTTTTGTGCCAACTTTTGATTATAAGCCGGAGCTGCTTATTAATAATTTTAATCCTGGACTTTACTACGATGGAATGCCCATGGTTCCTCCAAACGATCCCTGGTCAATATATGGAGCTGATAGTTCTACACTGGATTACTATCCGTCTCATTTTGAAACATCAATTGGAGATCAGGAGGTCATACAATATATGCCATTGACTGACTTAGAATATGCGATTCCTCAGTATATGAGTTTGCCGGTAGTAGAGCAAGCGAAGCTTGAAACATTTGTAGATAATAACAATAGTAATTCTGAAGAAACTAGCACATCGAATGTTGAAAGTATAAGTGAAGTGTGTACAAACTTACCACAAGATGTAAGCGCGGATTTGGTAGTTCTTAGTAACACTGTGAGTGACGATGAAAAAGTGATAGAAATTTATAACAGGGAACCGTCAACACAAAGTGATGAATCTCTTAATGCTGACATTTCCAACGATGTAACATCTAGTTTAGCTTTCGTTCCCAGTAGTAAATATTCACCAAATAGGCCTCAAGGAAATAATGCGGATGATACTAGTAATGATACTTCTCCATGTTCCACTGATTATCACGAAGCGTCTGCTTTGGATATAGTGCAAAGTCTTGATGAGTCATCATGTTGTGATAGTGATTATTCACAAAGTAGAGATGATGCTTCACCGGCTGCAATAGATCTTCAAAAGGAAACACATACACAGGTACTCCAAGCAATACAACAGTCAAGTGAAACATTTAAAGGACAAAGTGAAATAAGTGGACTTCAAAAAGTTCCTTCTAATGTGCCACTGGGCAATCTACCTCTTAGTAAATTACCATCCATTCCACTTCACGACACATTACCAACAAAATCACAACCAATACTAAATGAAGTAGCTCATATCGAAGATACAAAAACTGATAAATCAAAAATAATAGCTTTAAATTCTACAGAATATGTAACTGAATCGAATAAATCAAGCAACGCAAAAAGCACTGACCATGCTTTAGATAGCGTTATATCTGAGAATGTAAAAGTGAACGACAATGCTACAAATTTTCGGCAACCACCACAACCACCCGCTGTGCCACCTTCTTGGTTACCTAAGAAACCTCCAAGTGATGTCATGCGAAACTCTACGCAAACTGCCCCACAAATTAATATACAAAATGCAGATGGTCACTCGATCATAGACAAGAGTCCTAAATCCACTACTAATGTTGTTGCTTCAAACCACCAAGAAGGAGCAGAACCTCAACCATCATGTTCATATGCAGCGCCAAGATTACCACTGCCTGTAACTCAACTCAAGCCAGATACACAGCCAAAGGATGTGGAGGTCAGCTGGATATTATTTTGGTATAGTGTTTGACTTTTACATCAAAAATGGTACCGAATTAAATAATGTATTAGTGTTGTTATAAAGTAACCGCGCATACGCTGCCAACGTGTATATTGAGAGCAATGCGCATCTATTTTAACGTATACTATTAGGTCAAGGATTTAATTCATCTTCAGATCAAACAATATGGAGAATTCATGGTAACCAGGAAACATATTGTAAAGTTAAATAATCTGAAAATGGTAACTATTTGAAACTGTATAAATTTATTTGGACATGTTAAGAGGGCGCATCACTAATCGTATTACTAATACTGGATTGAGCGCACAAAATAGGTATTAGTAAAAAATGAGAGAATTACTTTATATTTACAATTCAAGGTTACTTTAAAATTCAAGAATATTCTCCTAATCATATTCTTCTGATTAATACGTGTGTGAAAGAAATGCGAGTCATTTGGTGACCTATAGTTATTTGTAATATTTTAGAATTCAGATAATTAACTAAAAAGTCGGCTTTTTCCACCTAATTGCTACGTCATCTGTCGTATTGACCTTTGTGATTTCATCTTATTTCTTTCAACTTTTTCCACTTTCATAATGGGTCATAATTTCTTGTCTTTTAAAAAAATACCAATTGTTGTATATATTTATATTGAAAACGTTAAATTTTTCATTTAGGTATTAGTAGAGCTCGTTTTTGGATTTTATTTAATCTACATGCCTAATCTCTATTCTTATAATTTAAACGCAATAAAAATTATACTTTTTACGTAGCTATGGCAGTAAATAACACGCTTACGTCGATAAAAATAGTTTTAGCATTGAATGTAAGCTATGCGATTCTGTCGACTAACACTAGATGGCGCCACGTGTTCTCTGTTGATAATATAGACGACGCATGCGCACAGAAATAGTACCGCGATGGTTACCTTCACCTAGGAAAACGATGACATCTAACGATCTAAATGGAATTTAACCGTACCTTAACCACTGCGATGATTTCTTTTTTGGATAAACTTGCCATTCATTTTTAAAACAATAAAAAACTAGGCATCTCTAGAGTCTCAACCACCTAAAAGTAAAACACAATGAACCGTGTCACAGTTTATTAATTATGTTCGAATTCATCAGTTTCTCTAATTAACGATATTTTTGTCACTGAGCTTATATTTTGATGTCTGACCTAGGTGTGAGATTGACAGATCACTTAAATTAACATACGTAAGTCTGTGGTTATTATTTTTCTTGTAAGACAAACACCTAAATAAAGTTCTTGAAAAATAGTGACTAACTACCAATACTACTTACAAGTACTTATGTAATATCTGCCAGTGTTTGGTAAAATTATTATTGCTTTTTATTTTTTATGTTGTCTTACTTGCTTATTTTTTATTTTTATTTTCGAGTCAGTTTGATAGTATTTAAATTTAACATGAATCGTATTCCCAAAATTTTGAGTCGCGACCCGAGAATAAGAAACGCTACTGATTTTCTGATCTGATCTAAATCTTCGTGAATACAACATGGAGAATATCGGGTTTTATGGTGATTTGAGGTGAAGTATGATTGATCCAGTCTATGAAAGTTAGTAGTTTAAATACCTGCATATATTACACCGCAGTAATAATAACACTATAAGTCACCAATTTTCATAAGGCGGAAATTACGATAATTACTATTTTGTGGCCATTCTAGAAAAACTGTTTATTTCTTCATAAGCAGATCAAATAACCAAATAATACTTCTTAATATCCTGTACAACTTATAGGAGTAAAGAGCCCAGTTATTATTAGTAAGTTTTTAATTTCGAGCGTAAGGATTTTCTATCGTGTTCACAAATTTTCATCGGTACAGATTTTAGTTTATATCCATTAGTGTTATAATAACAAGGTTTAGCGTTGGAGTAAATTTACGCTAAGAATGCATTAAGTATTAGTCAAAATTGATATTGTTAAACAGAGACAGCAAAGACTAACCTAGTAAGAGGTTCTACGGAAGTAATACTTACTCCTAGAAAGTATTATACGTTTGCTTTTTCTCTGTATAATATGAATTTGGACTATTACTAAAATTGCTATTTTAGTGTAAATTTATTAATAGCACAGTATAAATATTTAAAAGTTATTTTAAAAAACTGTCATTTAACCTAAGGGCTAATAAATGAAACGAAATTTTATACCATACTATACCTGTATTTAAGAAATGGGGTAACTAGATATAAATAAAGAGACATGAAACATTTATTTACTTTCAATCAATGTGTTAAAAGTTTCTTATTTTATCTATTACACACTTTGTTTCCAATTTTTTCGTTTCCAACTTTAAACGTTTCTTTCTAAAATTATTCACATTTACAGTAGGCGATGACTCCATACTGTTATACTCTAAAGAATTATTTAAATTTATAATAATACAATTTTAAAGTTCGAGCAGAATTTAACGACTTTACATGCGACATTCCCAAGATAGCTCTGATCAATTAATTAATAGTTTCAGATATCAAAATCTGATTGTAAGTATCCTTTGATAGCCGAAGATTCAATTTAGTGGTTTTATTTAACATTTTTAGTGTGATCTCATATATGTAACTCATTTCAGCCAAAAGTAGTAAATATCCGCCTTTGGTTCTACACGACTCGTATATGGTCTTGGTGTTTTTGCAAGATATAAAAGCATGTCGTAAAGTTCGTTTAACACAAACGTTTCTATAAAAGCTTTTCTATAAAATTCTGATATTTTTACAACTGTATAATTGTTGTCTTCTATTCTCCTCGTCTCAATCTCAGCTTGATCGATTATGATCATTCGTGTATGCCTATGAGTACATTCTCCATCTTCGATATCAGGACTAGATATATTCTAGATGCTATTAGCGAGTTATCCCATTTTATTCAAGTCATGTCCCTTTAAAGTCGTTTAGCTCTGGTAGTTTTTCTTTTAACTAAATGAAGCTTAATATCTATGTTATCGCTCAATTTAAGATTTAATGACATACCTAGTTTGACTTTACAACGTACAGTAGTAACGTGATCATTATGTCAAGCATACGATGCTCACTGTTGGGCATAGGTGGTCTCCCCATAAGTCTCCACGACGGTATCGCGATATTGGATAGATAAATAAAAAACATTACGTACGTGTAATTTGTTACTAAAATTTTAATTTCTCTAACAATTTTATTTTATTGACTTTGTGATTTATACGTATCGGTACATACCCGTGCCAAACTATGGATTTATGGTATGTTACTAATATTCTGAGAATTAAGCCGCGATCAAACTACCGCATTAATAGTTGTGGTCAGACCTGAATAAACTTTTAATTATAAACGTGGTTTTCCGTTTTATAGTAACAATGTTTCACTTTATCGGACTTTAAAAAATCAATAGTAAATAATGAAACCAGTATTAACTTGAATTAGATAAAATGAATTGTCTACCCACGTCTCTTATGTGACAGTCAGACAAATTACCTTTAAGTAGTTTATCTTGTTTGTCGCGTATGGAAAAAAGAGTATTAAATGCCTGTAGCAGTATGTAGGAAATTTCCCTAACCCTCTCAGTTCACGCATATAGTAGCTAGTTGATAAAGTTGATCAAGAAGCGTGCGTCTCAATTGTTTTGAATTGTAGTATCTATAAATTGAAACTTGTTGGAAGCAGCTCGGTTCGGATTTCATCGTGAATCAGACCTTGCTGTGTGCGGCTAGTTGGTTGGCAACACGTATGTTAATATTGTGACATTTAAGTTTTTTTTTTTTTCCAGGGTCGCCTATATTTTGTTATTTATTGTAGAAACATCATTATTGTTCTTGATTTTCTGGTTTATTGTAATTTATCTTTTCATAGATTTTCTATTAATAAACATTAGATTTTTTTTCTAATTACTAGTAAATAATAACAAACATTGATTACCATGGTATTAGTCACGTAACCACAAGTGATTAGACATATGAGTGAGGCGTGTAAGGTCAAGAACGCTTTAGAAATAGGTATAATGTTGATATCGTTACATTAATAGCGTAGTGAGATACGGGCTGATAAATGTGGTACGCCCGGCGTTGCCCACCTATCTATTTGGTAATGCCCAGTTCCTTCCGGCCGACCTTGCCAACTTTGACGCCGTGCATACCTCAACGCTACCTTAACTTATATTCAATGGTATTCAATTTGGACTAAAAGCATTTTATCTTCAAAGCAAACAAATGATACGGTAAAATGATCATATCAAAACAAAACCTTACGTTTTAACTAAACTTCGGAGTCGCCCAAATCTGACACCTAAATATTTGGGCATTGTCAAAAGTGAAAATGCGTTTCATCAATGCTAAGGAGCCACAGTGACGACTAAGCAACGCATAAAGTTAGGACAAGCATTGTACGGCGCCTAGCGCTGGGCATTTGCGTAATGTGACATACAATTACTCTTTGGCCATAACGCATGTGTTAAGGAAGGAATCAAGGAGTTTATATACTAGAATGAAGATATAAACAATGAGATTTTTTATCATCTTAAAATATATATTTTTGTTATTGTCTCTTTACGTGTAAGGGTTCTCAACGTGACATTGGCGGAATTATGTAAACGCAAATATGCCGCCATACGTAAAAAAAAGAATAACTAAAGCAATCAAAATCACAGACATACTTAGTAAGGCATTACCTAACGTTACAGGTTTGGTGAAACGACAAATCTGCTTAAGTTATTCTTTATATTGAGTGATTTCTAGTTGAGATAGGCATAAATCCAATAAATAAGAAAGAATTTTTAAGTAATAGTAGGTCTCTTTTTACTTACGAAAGAAATCGCCATTATTTCAATTCATTGGAAATAATAATGCCACATTTTATTTGAAGAATGTAAGTACCTTATTTCAGTTTTGCACAGTTGACTTACAAATTTAAACGATGTGACGTGTTTCTGAATAAATAATTTACTGGTTTGCAAAAATAAAAAAACTCCTATACGATATAGATTATACCTATATCGTATAATG